AACGCCTGCCTATAATATTAAGCTTATGAAAAAAGAATTATGCAAGAAAAAAAATTGTTTTTGTATTTCTCATTAAAATAATAAAAAAATTATTAAAATTACACTTTAATATACTGAAAGGTGGGGGTATTTCAAATCCTTCTAATTTGGGTACATAAATATGTAGGAGAAGTTTCGTTTGGTATCCCATACCACCTTAACTATGAATTATATATGTCTTTCAACATTTATACACATTTCAGCTAGTTTGAAATTTTTATATGACATTTTTATAATATTATAGTACATCAATAAATTGCTCTTCACAAATTTTATCAAAATTTCAGTAATACATGGTTCACAATTTACACGACATTTCATTTTATATTTAAATATTTTCAGAGCTATATAAGAAATGAGTATGTTCAACATTTCAGATAGCTGAGTTTCTTCAAAAAAACCAATTACTATATTTTTCCAGCCAATATTGAACTTCAATGATTGGCTTACTTTTTTCCATATATACAAGGAATCATTACACTTATATAAAAGATGTTCTATATTTTCTATTTCACCACACTTGTGACAGAATCTATGCACTTCAGTATTCCATTTACTAACATTCAGATTATTATTCAACAGTTTATGTAACAGTTTATAATTAAAATCAGCAATTTGTCTATCAAACATTTTGGTAATTTTCATATGAAAATTTTTTGGCCATATTGATCTAGGAATATCAAATAGATCAGTCCAGTATTTTACAGTTACAGGTTGTTGAAATTTCTTTGCTCTCAATATGTTGTAGAAAAAGGAGGATTTCTGATTCTCAAAATTACAATAAATATCTCCATAAAATAAAGCAAAATGATAATATTTAATGTTGACATGCTGAGCTTTTCTACATTCAAAAATCTTAGAGTATTTGTTAAACACTGATTTCATTATGAAATATTCACAGAATATATTTCTTTTATCTAAGATTTTTTCTAAGAAGTATGAAATATCTTGTAATCTTCCATTTTTATCAAAAAGATCTTTTGTGTATAGAACTTTTAGAATTTTAATTTGTGTTTCTTATATATAATATACAATATAGGTCTTTCATGATGATATATGCAGGTATTCAAGCTCAAAAGTCCATTGAAACAATACAAATCTGGAGCAGAGCAAACATGGACCTATAAAATCATCAGAGGTGGGATCAGGTGCCATGGAGTAACCATCTCCTGTCGACCGGTCCCACTCTCATGATCGAGAAAACAAAAAAAAAAAAATCCGTAGATAATTCAGTGTGTAAAAAATTGGCGAACAGATTGAAAAACTTCAGTCAGCATTCGACTTAATGATAGATTGTATTTGCTGACAAGATCATTGTATCGATCATGGAACTTACAAAATGATGACTTTAAACGAGACTGAAACTATAAATATTTTTGTTTCATCAATTTGTTTGTCAATAGGTTGTCTCGTTTTAGAAATTGTACTTACGTAGAGCATTCTCTTGCGTATTGAATCAAATGGGAGATGAAAACCCCATATGCAGGTTATAAAGGTATATTGCTTCCTAAGTGAGGGAAGTTGACGATCGAAAAGTTGAAGTCATCGCATTTATCATAAAGTTTTGCTGTTAGGTTACAGTTAAAGTCTTTTTCTAATAAATTATCCAAATATGAAACAGATGTGTCAGACTCTGTGGAATCTTTTATTTCAAGTTCACTTGTATATATCGAGTCGACATATGAATGGAAGTAACTATTCTTAATTGATAACACGTCGTCGATATATCTAAATGTCGAGTTGAAGGCCACAGCAAGTGTCTTCTTCTCATTATAAGGTTATGAATAAATTCTGCTTCATATGAATAGAAAAATAGGTCTGCTAATAATGGGGCGCAATTGGTACCCATGGGAATTCCGACAGATTGTTGGAAGACTTGTTCTCCAAAAACTACATATTGTCAATCAGAAAGTCCAGCATCTTTCTAAAATTACTATAGTATCTTTAGAGTACTTATGTGTACAATCAAAATGTTTTTTAACAAAATAATTTTGCAAGTGACCAATGACAAGGTAAGTAAATTTACGAGTTCCATTTTTATTGAAAACGCAGTTGTTTAAGAGGCCAAAAAGCCTGGATTTTAATTCATCGTGGGGGATAGTTGTATACAGTGTATAAAAGTCGTACGTTTTGATGTTATTGAATTCGGTAAAATTTTGTAATTTCAAATTTTCTTAAAGTTCATTAGAATTTTTAAGAATCAACATCTGATTTACACCATTTCTTGAATATATTGTTGTACGGTATTCCTGAAGTTTCTCCTTCACTACTGTTAATATTTTAGTGACGAGTAAAGAAAGAGGCTTGGTAGAAGATTTACTGGAGCCCGCTATGTATTTTTATTTGTAAGGATTTTATTAAGTTTAGGAATCCAGTATAGGTATGGTAATTCAATTTCATTTTGATTGTTGGGAATATTCAAAATATTTAAAACTGACATTTGATTTTGAAGAATTTCCTCCTTAGAAAGGGAGCTATGGGTAAAAGTTTGACTACGACTTGCAGAATTTAATCCCAGTTCCTCTATAATACAATTAAATAATGAGCCTTACAAACAAAGATAATGTTGTTACATGTACCTGCTTTTTAAGCTAGGACCAGTACATACTGATCGTGTAATCTATCTAATTCATTTTTTCACTTTTGAATTATTGAAGACAAAAGGAGAGAAGGTTTTCATATTGTCCCTCATTCGCTAAATGCGAGTTTTTAACATCCATCTGATACCTTCAATCCCTTCTGACAAAGTGTCAAGGTCTTCTTTTTAATATTTGGCGATGCGCCTGGCGTGATCGTCCACGGAACTCATAATATTTATGAAATATTAACGAAATTATGGCGCCAGTTGAATGATCGGGGTTCCCTAAATTTTGGCCCTTTAAATAAATGATTTGAGGTCCTCACACATTATAATTTTAGCAAAGAGTCTTTTAGAGTAGCATCTAGCACTTTCCCATATAATTCTTTAGTTAGTGTACCTATATTTTGAGACAGTCCATATGACTTTCTATCGTCCACTTCCCTTATTTATGTAGCAATATACTCAATCACTGCATATGGTGTTTATGTCATCCAGTTGATTCCATATGCTCGTTGTACTAAAAATTTCTAAAACGAGAAAGTCTACTGTCAAATAAGTTAAGGGTATAAATAATCTCGTTTAAAATTGATACAATCATTTTGTTTACAAATACAATCTGTCGTAATATCGAATATTGATTGAAGTCTTCCATAGGTTAGGCCAATATTTTCATACTGCATTGTCTATGGATTACTACGTTTAACCGATCAAGGCAAAGGGCACACGGCGCGTGTGACAGGTCGACAGGAGATGCTTACTCCTTCATACCACCTGACCTCCATCTGATGTTTCCAGAGGTTCATGTTTGCTCACAATTTGTCTTATTCAATTACTATTTTGAGCATGAGTACTGATTCTGTCTCTTCACACTTCATGTAGATTCGAATTTTGAATTCAAGTTCCCCAGAGTTCGTAAAAGGGAGGGGGTTCAAAGTTTTACGTAAGACAATAGAGGAAAAGTCTTTAAAATTCTACTTCTTAAGATTTATACTGTATTTTAATCTTGAAGTTCGTATCATCTGTGTTACATTTTTTTATCCAATCCAATCTCAATTTTTGCATTCAAAAACTGACCTTTATAAGGCAATTTATGAAATTAGGAAAGTATTACAATGAAGCACTTGTGCAACAAAAATTACCCAGATCACATTTCATCCTGACAAATTGATATGAAGATTTATGTAAGAACTTGGGGTTTTTTAAATGTAGAAATAGGTCTTCCCTTCATCGAGTTTCAATACAGCATATATAACGAATGTTACTTATCAATAACAATTAGTCTACTTGTTCTGGAAGAAGTCTATGTATAGTTTTTCGATAATTTTTATCCTCTTAATGGTCCCACGATAATCCAATTATCTGATTTATTGATTGTTGTTTAACGTCCCATTCGAGACTTTTTTTACTCATATAGAGACGATCGATCCAATATCTGCACAGTGGTTAGAGCGTCTGCTCTAGAGTCGCGGAGTAAGGAGCTGATCTTTAAGTCGCGGGTTGGCCGGTAGGTGTTGGCACGAAAAAGATCCCTCACTGCTCAATGGCCCTAAGTGCCGAGTATAGATATATATTTGCAGCCCTCCACCGACAAGTTTCCATATGAGTGAGAAGTTCTCGAGAGGGGCGTTAAACAACAAACAAACAAATCGCTTCTCTGTGAATGCCTTAAAAATCGACAACCCTTTTACTATCCCTATCCTAATGCAGAAAAAGACATATGAAAAATAAAGATTTGAATATTTCTTTTTAATTTTTTTATAATACTTCATGTACATTTTTCAGAATATAGATTCCTTTTTGCAACATATTATATATGTATAGATAAAGTAATGCAGACTTAAACAAAAGGATTTATAGAAAGTCTTTGCATAGTTATATCATATAAGATTTATTATTAATTTTTTTATTCATTTTTATGCTCTATACTGATTAAATGTTATTGAATGCACATAATTTTAAGAATTTTTTTTTTTAAATAATCTGAAAACTAATCAGCTGTACAAAATACTGGCTTAACAGACTGCTTCTCTTGATCCAAAATTCAATTTTAAACTTCAATATACATGTATATATTTCTAGCGTGTAGGGTAGTGTGTGGAACAAAATAAACATTTACATTTATGACATATAACCATATCTACAGAGCCTTATAATTCTAACCTTGACAAAACCTTGACAAAGAATCAAGCCTTTTGGATGGAAATTGCAGATACTGCATAATATATTTCATTTCATTACATTTTCAATTTATTTGTTGAATAAAATTTAAATTATATTTTTTCACAGCGTGAAACGATACTAAAATGATATTCTCTCACAGTGTGAAAGGATATCAAAGTAAGTAAAAATGATTTCATAAGATAGAGATAGTAACTAAACCATCTTGATAGAGATAGTCCTCCCAAATCCATGTTACAATGTTTTCAATCTCACAAATGCTAAGCTTTGACATTTCAACCGCTCAGCTATGACGTCACAGCCTATGACACTGAGTTAAGAAAAGATAGAGCAGAGAGAAATCAAAGAAAATGTAATAAACAGAAAATTCAATGTTTTGTAGTTAGCTATGGAATTTATTTCACTCGTGAGATAGTTTTTTTTTTTTTGGTGCTTCTCACTCGTGAAAATTTCAAAAAATCCTGTCCTGAAATAAATTCCATATCCAACAATAAACATTGAATATCCTCTATATACATGACTACAAGATTCGTTTAATCTTTTGTTTCTTATAAATCTAACACCCAGAGCAATAAAACAAAGTCTAATTTTAGGAAAAAATATTTAGAAATATGTTTTCACTTTTTCAGAAATACGCATCCTGCAAATTGGACAAGACTGTAATTGATCGGCGCAGTCTTGGCAAGTGGCCAGATGACCACATGGTCGGAAAGTGACATTTACTTGAGAATTAAGACAGATTTTACAGAGTAACTGATTTCTTATTCTATCCGCATCTTCACTCAATGTTTGTACTTCATGACGAAGAAACTCACAGTCTGGAGATAAACGTGAATGTTTTTCAGTTGGATCGTCATTTACGCCGATGGACATAACAATTCCACAATGGAAACATTGCACTTTCTTTTCAAAGCCTAAATATAACAACAAAAATTTTAGAACACATAGAAAATAAAATCAAAATAATGAGATTAAAAAAATACTTCCACATCAATTTAAAAAAAGGTTTGTGTGCTGCAATATATATATATATATATATATATATATATATATATATATATATATATATATATATATATATATTACATTGTTTATTTCAAAGCTACATGAATTATCATTGTTGCATACAAAAAGGCCTATTTATCAAATTTACTAATAATTTAACAAATAGTAATCAGTCTGGTATAGTGACTTCCTTTCAAAAGTTTTATTTTTTCAAACATTTGGTACAATCAAACAAGAAAGTTTTTTAAATGTGTTAAAGAGATTAAAATTATTGAAATATTATTCAAACCTTTATAGTACAATCCAGATTTTGCAATTTCTGGGGCCTTTTGTGAAAGATAATTTTTACAGTCTTGAAAGGACGATGTACGTAACTTTTCTGTTGCGTATTCAGGAAATCGCGAGGTGGAAACTAATTTTTTATTTCTATGGACAGGTTCATAAGAGCGATTTTCCAACTCCAGTTTTTGTCTCATCAATAACACGTGCCAACAGATTGGATTGTCTTTAAAATGTTCTTCCAAAGCATTGTCCCATTCAGACCAATTGTCTTTTTGAACTCCACAGGCGAAACACGAGGTTTTCCTATTATAACCTGAAAGCGAAATGTCATTTTTAAATATGATATACAAAAATTATTTTCCTTATCATCTTTATTTTTTTTATTTATACATAATTTTATTCACAAAAAGTGAATGGGATCTGGCAGCAGGCATAGCCTTGTTTTAATTCAAACAAAACTGTTAACGTTGATTTTATTCATTGTATATATGATATGAATATATTCCAAGTTTAAAATGTTCAAATAAAATGTCCCTTCTAAACCCTATAGGTAGCTGAAGAAATGTAGCGTTATGGTTTTACATTTTAGTCTTTGACCATAGCGCTACAGATCCCGTAATGCAAATATTGTGCAATTCACGGCGCAAAATTTTCTACGCACTTTGGGGATGTATTTCGCCACCTTCCAGCATTGGTCAATCAACTACCTTTCATTCCTTAATTCTAGACATATTCTATAACCATCCTGTACAATATATCCAACTCCTCACCCTTTCTAGTCGTCTTTACAGACCAATAAAATCGCTTGTTTTGAATTTGTTGGCATAAAATTTACAACAAGCGAGCAGCTACTCCGTAGGTTAACACTATTCAATTTGGGGAACATGGCTCAAACATAATTCAGAATGTATTTCATACCCATTTAGGTCTACATTTTTTTTAAAGAGATGCTAATGTGGATATTGCATATACAATAAATTCATGAAAAACCTACAAAAAATTAAATATCCTATCCTCAGAATGCTTAAGTTTAAGATTATGCAGAATTCGCTTGTAAAGATATCTATACGTTATATTTTGCGTTTATTAGAACTGTTTTGGAATATTCCAATGTTGTTTGGGACAACTGCTCTGTAAAAAAGACTCCAAACTTTTAGAATATATTCAAGTTGAAGCAGGTAGAATTATCACTGGATTATGAAGTACTGTAACTCCTCTCGTTCAAAATTGTATGAGGAATTAGGCTGGGATCTTTTACAAACAAGGAGGAAGGTTCATAAGTAGATATTATTTTAAAAAATTATAAATGGCTATTCTCCTCAATATTTGTTTGATTCGATTGAACCTTATCGCCCATCAAATCATTCCTATAAAATGCAAAATTCAGAATTCCTTACATTAGAACTTCATCTTGTATGGGTAGTTTTCAACAGTTAACAGTGGAATACCTTGCCAGATTGTGTGATAAATGCTTCTAGAATATAATCATTCAAGATTTAGTTCTATGCTTATTTGTGTAAAACCAGACCATAATGAATAACTATTTTGAAGACTATACATAAAATCTTATATCGTAATATAAAAGTTTGAAAATTGTTTTGCTTGGATCCAAAATTAAATGTTGGTTTAACCTACATAGAAGTAAATTTACTTCCTTTTATCTGCAAAATATATCTGACATTATGTGTGTTTTTGAATATTTACTTTCGTTTTGAATTATGAAAAAAGCTAATTTAACATTACAACAATATTACACTTTTTAAAACAGGCCCCATGGAATCTCACATCCACAAGTACGTTCTTTCTAGTTTCGATTCAATCATCATATACAAACCTTCATAATAATATCCTGCATCAGACAAAACATTCGCCATTTTAAGAAGGTCATGGGGAGCGTCATTGAACGACAGAAATCTTGTTCTAACATCCCTGTAGGCTGGGTATCGAGTATTAAAAGGTGGTCCAGAGCTAGTTGAATACTTTAAACTATAATCCAGATATGTACCCGGTGGTTGTTCCAAGCAGTACATTCTTACATTTAATGTCCGTAATTTCTGTACTATCTATTTTTAGTTCAAACACAATGCAGTATTTTTAAAAGATTACGACACTTGACTACATCAAAGCTGGGGGTTTCAAATTTAAAGGGAGAGTACAGCGCATTTCATTAAAAAAAAAAACCGACTAAATAAAATTTTCCGATGGAAATATTTTTGCTACTCCTTAATGTATCTTTCAGATACATAAACTATCCCATATAACCTTTCAGAAAATTGCGTTTCATATTTAAGTAATTTTGATTATCTCAATAAAATTAATAATTATTTATGGCCCACAAAAATATAAATCGCAACGTGTTAGTGTTCCGCCCTCCATGATTTCACACCTACTTACCAACAAAACAGCATGGCGGATAAGAGACGGATAGGCCTGCTACTTGACAGAGCCGGTCAAGCAGTCATTCTACGATAAATGGACCAATTCAGAGTAAAAAACATGAAAAAAATAATTGTTTCAAATAGCAAAATGAACATCATAATTCTCTAAAGGACCTATCAGTGAACTTGAAAACAAAGAATTAAACAAAGAATTGCGCACAAATTTGATACCGTTAACTTTTTACAACAATTTCAAGATACCATTGATTTCAAGGTAATGTTACGGAAGTTAATGCTTGATCAAGCCTTATCATTTTTAAAATAAAGCTGAATTTGACCAATTATTCGTTTCTGATGTTCAGCAAAGAACGCTAAAGTATGATTCCTCGCATGAATCCGAATTTAAATTAAATTTTCGGGGAAAATATCGTTACGGAAGTTACTCGTTACGGAAGTTAATTCCCAGCAATAAAAGTCAAAATTCTCTTCAATAGTTAAAATCAAGGTTTGTTTCAGGATATTAAACAAAAGTATGAAGCATTTCGCTCCCAAAATAATCAAAAAAAATTATACCTTAAATGCAAAAACTCTCCTGAATTACCGTTAAGGAAGTTAAATTTTTAAGAGAGACAACTGTTTTTGTCTAATTCATTTTGTTATGTCGAAAATGTAATCGTGTAAAATAGCTGACTCGCAACTAGAATCGATGATATAAGGTTCCGTGCTCACTTTCGGATAAGTTTCAGTTCTTTTTGAAATCTGCATTCTATGCGTGAAATTTAAAACTAAATCGTTACGGAAGTTAATCGATTTTAAGCGACATGCTTATAAATTCGCATGAAAGGAGATCTATGCATTTGTTTGCGAGAAGTGGTTTGATTTCTTTTTATATTGGATAAAAGACACACACATTCATTGCACTCTATTCGGAACGATTTTACGGCTGAAAATTTCATTTTGAATTTTGTAAATAAATGAAGCGACATTAAAAGATTTGCAGTGGGATACGTTTTTCAACATTACATTATGTTCATATCAAAACTTTAACTGCATATATATCGATGAATATTTACAAAACTATGTGTGTATTTTAAGTCTTAGGGTTGAAATCGACCTTTAAATTTATAATTAAGATATTAAAACGGTAAATTTGCAAGTAACATAAAAGACTGAGAGAGAGAGAGAGAGAGAGAGAGCGACCATGCCAATTCTCTGGCCAAAATTTAATTGGGAGATCAATATGATCGTTGGATGAGGAATGAACGGGAGATGGACAAGGCTCGCGAAGATTCTCCTCTGCGGGTTTGTTGATATATGCGCATGTTGTTCCTCACATAAAAAATAATCAGTGCAAAAAATAGTTTAAAAATATACCTATGGTCTATGAATTTTCTTGTCATTTAAAGTGCAAATTTTAATGGAACTGACCTGAGTATTTTTGTAACATTTTGCCCAGTAACATATGGTTTGTTGGTTTTCCCTTCTCGGGCCCTCATTATTATATAGATTAATAATTTATTGGAAAAATAGATATTTTGCTTTTGGGAATTGCTCTTTTATATATATATATATATATATATATATATATATATATATATATATATATATATATATATATGTATATATATATATATATATATATATATATATATATATATATATATATATATATATATATATATATATATATATATATATATATATATATATGAGAAGCCTAGATGGTATTATCCTATGGGACAAGATATTCCAAGAGTTCTATGATGTGAGCATACATCATTTTTATTTACACAACTCTGTCTATTTTTTGGATAAACTCAGTATTATTTACGTAATTCTTCGTATCTATTTGAAAATAGTTACATGTAAGAGAGGAACCTGATCAGTGAGTATCAAATGTATAAATTTGACAACTATCTTTTTCTTACTGGGTAAAAATTTCCGAATAAATAATCTTATCTATTTCAAGCTACGAGGAAGTAAATCTAGCCATAGGTATTATAGACGATACATAAGGGTACGTGTATAATCGCATTTCATCAACAAATAATCACATGGTTTTCAATCAACCACCATTTATGACAGATAACGATCACAACTCAGAGGCCATTGGTTTAGTTCGGAAATACGGAAGTACAGGGTATTATTTTATCAGAGTGTACATTAGTTGGCTTATCAATTTTCCACACACGTATTAAACATTCTTTATCAGCATTTCCAAAATATTACAATCATTTCGTACTTTTCCAAGATCGAAGAGTTTCCAAATCAATTCTAAAAAGGTTTCAAGAACTTTATTTATTTATTTATTTTTGTTTGTTTGTTTGTTTTATTTTTATGTTTTATTTATTTTTTTATTATTATTATTTTTTTGGGCTTATTTATAGTATCCATCTTAATCGCAACAAAGTTTAACATTAGACATTGGACAAAAATGGCGAGAAATAATGGTTAAAGTATTATTGACTAATCAGAACTCTCTTAAAAATTCTATAAAATCATACGTAAATACCTTGATTTATTAAATTTTTTATGAATTTTTTTGTGCAAATGTAGGGAGTATGAAGGGAAACCTTATTTTTTGAAGGTAATATGATTTTAACTGCGTTAACTTTTTTTTATTTCTGATTTCTGCAGTGGGAATTTACCCCTTTTGTTACACGCTTTAACGATTTCTGCCTTTTTTGTAAGATTAATGTTTTTGATTCAGAACAAAACAAATATCTAAAATACAACTTTTTTTTTTTTTAGATTCTTATTTCATATTTTCCGTGGAAAGGGGAGTATTAGCTGTCAGTCTTTCTGCATGCCTGCCAGTTAATTTAACAATATACTTGAAACATTACTTAGACATCTGTATACATAGAGTATAGTCAATGTTTTGTAGTTGGATATGGAATTTATTTCACGAGTGGGACAGGATTAATTTATATATATATATATATATATATATATATATATATATATATATATATATATATATATATATATATATATATATATATATATATATATATATATATATATAATATATATATATATTCACGAGTGAGAAGCACGAGTGAAAATATTTTTTTTAAAAAATCCTGTCTCATGTGTGAAATAAATTCCACATCCAAATACAAAACATTGAATTTTCTGTTTATTGTACATTTTCTTTGATTTTCCCTTTGCCTCTGTCTTTTCTTAACAAAGTGTCATACTGGCTGTGACGTCATAATTGAGTCTTCGAGATGTCATAGGCCATGTAGCTTAGCAGTTCTAACATGGATTTTAGCAACATATTTGGGAAGAAATTGACAGTTTTAGTCTCTATCAATTGCAAGACGGTTAAGTTACTATCTCTATCTTATGACAAGCCAAAAAATATGGGGGTTTTTCTTACTTTGATATCATGTCACACTGTGACAGAATTTCACTTTGTTATCCTTTCACACTATGACAGAATATCACTGTTGCAAATGTAATAAAATCCCACCTTACCTTTGAGCTGCATGATATCAATATCGCATGTTACTTGTATCTTTATAAAGAAAATAAATTGCAAGTAGAAGAAAATAGAACGCAATTAACGAAGGTCTCAGTTAAGCCTATACGTTTTTCTTGTACATTCATAAAAGTAGCCAATAGAGCAAATCAAAATGTTGAGTACCCTATACGGAAAATAAAATTTAACTAAAAATTATCCTGAACAAATAAGGAAAAATATATCATATTTTCCACATGCAGTTGAAAATCAATGTTATGATCGTGCAAAGTCAAGGCTATTGAAAAAGCATTATTTAATTTAATCAACGGAAATTTTTTATTTCTCACGTTGTTTAATGTTTATGGCATGAATATATATACACGTGTAGAGAAATGAATGTTTGTTTTTTGGTTTTTTTTTTAAATATTCTTAATTAATCAATCTTGCGTCGTTTTGTATTCGTTGTAAGTTGATATTATAGGTTCTGGTAAATTAACTCAAAGATCGTTTCACGTGTACTCTCCACTTTCATTATGATTCTCGACTCTGCTTAAATATGCTTATCGGTGAGTTTCTTGTAAGAGCTGTTGTAAGGAATCCTTTTTCAAGAGAAATTAAAATATCAAGGAACTTTATTAAACGTTAGTGAAGTTAAATGCTGGCGCGTATATAATTAGCAGTTGTGTGAAAGTTGCGTAGTTCATCTGTTCCCGTCTTGATCCCCTCGGGTATATAAAAAAAAATTCCCGTTTTGTACAATTTTCAAAAGAAAATCAAAATGAAATTTCCCAATTTATCCAAACAGCATCCATCATTTCCAGTATTTGCTGTCGGTGTTAACTTTTTTCTATCGATCATTTGACACTTTTTAATGGCACCTCTCTTCTTCTTTTTTTTTGGGGGGGGGGGGGGGGGCTGTACTTACTTGGATATAGCTCATTATTTTCATAGTTCTCAGGGTTTTTTTTTTATTTGACTAGCCCGTAGTTAGCCTGTAATTTGTCATGCAATCAATTTCAACTTCATATTGAAAATTAATAAAGGACATTAGCTACAATGTATCATGCATTGTTTTAAGAATTGCGCACACAATAGCTATTTAAAGTCACCCAACCTTAAAACTTGGTCATGGAGTGTACCAAATCCAAGATATTTGCTATCAACAAAAACTCTTTGTTTTATTTTGAGCAT